CATACCACCCGGTGAACACACCATTCACCACTCGCACACCGTACTACCCGTACAAGCGTATATGTCGCATTTTGGTACGTTTATACGGAATACATCAGTTGTCGTTTTCAACGAAAATCAGGACAAGTCGATACCATCGAGGAGATGAGCGAATGGGTCAGGCTGAGCGGGATTTGGAACATATTCCGAGGCATCCTTCGCCAGCTGTACTATCTCAGGATCGAAGTGCACCCTCGCAAATTCGGCGGCGAGGTCGATACCCGCCGTTATTCCCGCTGAACTCCACATCCTTCCGTCCACGTTCCACCTCCTGTCCCCAATCCACTTCACTTTCTTGTACAACTGGCCCGCGAGGGCTATGGTCCTGAGAGCAGTTTTGTTGCTGCAGACGTTGTGTTCGTCGAGGACACCGGATGGAGCGATCGCGAGTGAGCCAGTGCATATGGTCAACAGCGCCTTGAAGCTTTCTTGCGCCACAAGCTTCTGTAGGAACGCGGCGCATCCTTCGGGGAGTGGTGCAATCGGGTCAGGACCGGGAACGAGGAGGTATTCGAGCGGGGGGCAGGTATCGTACGTGCATGTTGGGATACCTACTGGACCCGAGGAGGCCTGCACGGGCTCGAGGTTGTGAGAGATGTAGTGCCATTCGATGATCGGGGCTTTGGCGATGATGCTTTCGTCCTCTTTGGCGAACTTCAGACTGGCTTGGGAGTGTAAGTTGATGTAGTCCGCGGAGCCTGCGGCATCGAGCCACTGATAGGACGGCAGGAGGAGGAGACCAAAGTGGATTGTTTGCGGTGACATGTTTTCTGGCGCTTGTCGGTCAAGTGGTGTGTGATTTGGGGTCGGAAGATGGGGCTAAGTTTTGACTTTTTGTTGCTTTTATACATTGGCGCAGGTTGAAACGTTCAGGTTTCGACAATGTGCTGACGACGTAGATTCACAGCATAGGTAGGTGTTACTCATTAATCATCTTCAGCTACACATTAATCATCTCTGTCTGCGTAGAAGTCTTCTTCGCGTGCGGGGCGGACGCGTGTTATAAAGCTTCTCTTCTGTTGTGAGCGTACTTTCCGCTTCTGTGGTCATGCGATTTGGCCCTGGGTGAATTCTTCTCGAGAAAACTCTAGTAATTAGAAGGATCTTCATATGGCTTTGACTCGTGAATAAGTCAGCTCTCCTTGATGTGTTATCAACCGTCTGATCTTGTGTACTGAGGGCTTCTTGAGTCGGGGTTAAAAATAGAACTGCTACTTCCACCTGCCCCATGGCTAAGTTGGTCAAAGCGTCCGACTGTTAGCATTTGCGCGATCGGAAGGTCGTGAGTTCGAGCCTCACTGGGGCAGCTTTTTTGGCTTTATTTTCAATATGAACGTCGCATCATTCTTGCTGCGAGGATCTTAATTTTGAAAGGGCAGATCCGTAAAACTTAACCCCGTCTTTCTTCAAGTTTGTAATGATCAGCATGCTTCGATTTCCCTTGGGTTCCTTGAAAGCCGGGGAGGGAGAGCACTTTTCCCATCTTCGTGGCCATTCATTACCAAGTTGCCTTCGTCGCCGATCGTGCCGCTACGTCTTTGATTATCAAAGTTGCTTGACCTTCGGACTATCAGAATTCAAAAGAAGCCGCATATGCATGTGTCAAACCCCAAGTTATATACAGAGCACAGGTTATACGACGCGCTCCCTGATATCTATCCGTCATGGGATGTCGTCTCAATTGGTGTGGTTGCCGCCCGCCGCACTCTTGTTACATGTAACAAGTATATTTGATATCTCGTTCTTAACTTGGTTACCTTCACATATTGATTGGACCTGGGAAGTATATAAACACCCCAATCACATTCTCAATTCTTCAGCTGGTTCTCCTCTCCGAAATCCACTAAACAATCTTTGCGCCGGTCGCAGAACAATCCAACACCAATAAATCACAATCCAACATGGTCAAGATCTCATCTTTTGTCTTCACTGTTGCCCTGTGCGCCGCATATGCGTTTGGCGCGTGAGTATGCCCCCCTCGGCCTTGTAGACTGGGCGTTTGAATACGTTTTGACTTTATGTTCCAACTATTAGTGCTATTCCCCACCTTAGCGTCGTTCCCCATCACGCTCATCAGCACACCGAGGCGGACACCACTACGACCGGAGGATCGCAAATTCAGTCGTACCAAACTTTCGCTGCGCGTGAGCCAGGGTGGTTTTCCCTCGGAGCGAAGTGAGTACGGAATTCTTTGCGCGACTTAATGCTAAATCTGCCAATACCCAGAGTTGTTAAAGGGGGAGTTAAGGCCGCTAAGAGCAAGAAAGGGCGTAGAGTGATAAAGAAAGTAGGAAAGGGTGCCTTCGCAGTGCTTGAAAACTTCTAGGCGCTATAATGCTTCAAGAACAGTGATGGGCTACCGCCTGGGCCATTAGTTGAACATGCAATATATGTATTTTATGAACAGATCACTTTCGATATCTACGAACAACGACAACGAGACGACAATCTGGTACGTACTCCGGAAAGATAGGCTGGCTGCGTCTTAAAAAGTGAATCAAATTAAACAGTGTTTAAATTCTATGCAATTAATTTTGACTGATTTCGTGCTTCGCTTCCAGTTGAAGAAGTTGTCCTTTGTAAGCTTCAAAATCATTCTCCAGAAGAAGTATCATTCTTTTCATTAGATCATTGTATAATTTTCCATTATCGCTGAATTTATTCACGACAATTTAGTGATTACTACTACAGTATGAAGAAGCCGTAGAACGACGTACATACCAAGTCCCTCACTGACGACATGAAATCAGACGTCTGGTTCCGATATTTACGCGGTGCATTCGCCGGATAGAAATTCTGATCTTTAGTGAATTGGAAAGCTTGAAGATCTTTGTCACACAGCTGAGGTGTGCGTCCCGAGTTCAATAGATGACGAGTCACCAAATCTAGCTCGTGAGCGCTACAGGTACCTGTGAGAATATCAGCAAAGCTTTTTGAGCGAAATATAAAGATCAAACTTGCCAGATTTTACTCACTCAAAGTACATGTATCCATACTAAGATGCTGGCTAAATAAAACCTGTTAAACTGGGAGTGTATGACTAAATCTACTCTTTTCAATTCTATTCATATTCACGCCGCGCGATATCAGCGGAAAAATAACATTCAGAAGCTCCGAGTCAACTTTCCTTCTTGAAGGATATCTGATACACAGAGAATTTAGCCTTCGATTTTTGTCCTTTGTATTGTGCCGTCAGATCGGGTTTGGGGCTCCATTCTTAGAACCTTGTCTACATTTGAGTTTTGGAACCTATGCGGCGGTGCGGCAATGTCCGCTATGCCGGCTATGCCCACATCTCATGTGAACTCGGCCCGGCCCCCGGAAGCGCCCGCTGATGAGCCGCACTGGTTTGCCTAAACTGCAGCCGCTTGGCACGACACTTCTTCTAAGTAATTATACAAGAGGAGGGCAATCTAATATTTATTTTTTGGACCACAAGTTGCACTAGGAAGTCGTCTTCAACTCTCAAGTTCCAACTCTAGGCGAGTACCACAGTCCACGCTGAGTGTGCGGGGTGTCGGATGGGCGCTGGGCAAGCGGTTGAAAGGGGCACAGGTTTTTTGCCGTGCCACGAGCGTGCAGTGCGTGCATGCGTGTGCGTGATGCGTGCACCTCGAATCAAGCGCGTGCTTGTCTGTGCGTGCGAAGGTGAAGTGCGTGCACAACTGTCAGACGTGCGGGCGGTCTAAAGGACTTGCGTATGCCATGCGTGCAGATGTGCGTGGGCCAATAGTATATCTTGGATTATCTTGCTTAGATATCGTTGAAATCACATAGACATTTGAATGAACACATGAGTAGACTATGAATATAAACAAGTAGGACTGGTGTGTGTATGTGAATAACCTGAAAGTCATTCAGCTTTGTGCACTCTTTTAGCCTTAGGACGCGGGCGTGGGCGCGGTCACAGGTCAGGAGGTGGTGTGTCCTTCATCAATTGCTTGAAATTAGGATTCTCCTACACCAAAACTTAGTAGCGTTGAAGTAAATATATGACATGACCTAAATCCAGTTCGCCCTCGCTGTCTGCCCGGTCTCGATGGATTCAGTGGGCTGGAATCCCATCATACGGATTCCAAAATTAGTGATCGCCTTCATCCAAGCCCCACTGACAGTGTCCGGTGATTCCAGCGCGTGAAGACCTCTCGAACATTTCCTCCTCGAGTTGATACAGACAGTCTTGGTCAACGTCGATACCCATCAAGACAAATGGCATTCCAGTCAATTGAAGTGTCCAGGCCTTTTCAAGAACTTCTGCATCATTTAACATTACCTTTTTGCTGTTCAACTTGAAAAGCGTTGTGAGAAACACAGTGTATGCGTGTGCCAGGGGCAGAAGTTCCATCCACATATGGCGCATACCTGGATCCTTGCTGACATTAGCTTCAAACCAATTCGAAATGTGGGCTCTTTCAGTAAGAGTGAGACTTCCAACGTATGGAATAATATCCGTAGACCGCTTTTTGTGGACTTCTAGTCATCGCTTGGCAGGGACACATTCACTGTGTACAGTCTCTGGACTGTCGAGGAGTGATTTAAAAATGCTGAGGTGCGGTATGAGAGCATCGTGAACCCTGGTGGTGAAAGGAATCAACATTGGATCTGCCAGAATGTCTTCTGAAGTTGGAACGTCGAATGAATGTACCCATTTTCCAAGCTATGAGGACTGGGATCAGTACTGAAACATATTCAAAGAGTAAGGATAAAAATTCCCGCATTTTGCCCCTTTCAGTCCTATTCATCCAGAGGGAATCGACAATACCTTCTTTTCTGACTGTTGTGGTAGAGTCAGGGCCAATTCCTGCTGTGTAAAACTCGCATCCTCGCCACCACCGAACAATCCACTGTGTGACAGGAGAACCTATTTGTTGGAAGACACGGACAGGATATCAGAATTCATCATGTCGGGCCAAGGTTCCCCTGCCTCGTCGTAGGCGCTGTTCAAGTGGCTTTCAGTGTTGGAATGTTCGAGACTCCGCGTAGATTACATAAGCGTAGATAATTTTCGTTCGCATTCTTCGCCTTGCACCTCATCCGTGAATATCATCACGTCGAGGTGTAAGTCTCTTTATTTTTATTCTACCTATGACAACATGTACTCATATCAGTAGTCTACATCTCACGTTTGTCATTAGGTATTTATATCCGTGAATATCATCACGTCGAGGTTCTACATCTCACGTTTGTCATTAGTTCGACAGCATTAAATCACCTGCGCTCAACAGGTTATGGGCCCCGGAGACAGTAACACGACGACCCTAGCGACGCTTAAGGTGCTCGACATACCGAAGCTCGCCGAGGATGGCTCAAATTGGACGACCTACAAAGATCGGGTCATGAACCACCTCATCTCGAAAGGGCTCGCTCGCCACATCCGTGGTACTGCTCGCAAACCTGTCGGACTCATTCAAATGAAGGGGAAATTCTATAAGGCGGATGCGGATCTCACGGCTACGGAATCTTTAGTCCCACTGGACGAAGACGAAATTGAGAAGGCGGAGACGGAGGTGGACTCCTGGGAAATCAAACAAGCCCAAGTACGCGAAATTATATACGCGACTGTCTCAAGAACGACCTATAATCAAATTAAATCGTCGATTACTGTCCAAGAACTCTGGGAGAAAATGAAAGAAATCCACGAAGTCGAAAAAGGACCACTCGTACACACGGACCTTTTATCCAAGCTCCAAAATAGCCGCTACCCTGGAAAGAACATGCGCGGTCATATCTCCAAGATGACTGAGATCCGAGATCAACTCGATGACATCGGTCACCCCATTGATGATGCCTCCTTCGCCGCATATATCCGCGTCTCGCTAGGATCATCCTGGCGAGTATTCCTTTCTGCTATGCATGTCGGCGCTGCTTCCGCTGGACGTGCAGTGCCACTGAAAACCTTCCTGAATGCCTTATATCATGAAGCCGATAATATCCAAGCTGAAAACAGTATAAAATCTACGACTGAAACAGCAATGGCGGCAGAAGGCTCAAAGAAGGGCAAGGGAAAAGGAAAAGGGAAGGAAAAATCAGACAAACATTGCGACAACTGCAACAAAAATGGGCATATCAAGGAGAACTGCTT